GTCCCGCCCCCCCCGTGGCGTGGCGCGGCCCAGTGCAGCTCGGGTCCTGGGGCGGGGCTTGCAGCAAGCCCGCCCCCAGGAATCGGGCCCCGCTCTTGCTAAAGCTGGCCCTGCCTGCGGGCTCTCTGGGATTATCGCTTCACACACACCCGCCCCCCCCACCCCGCACCCACTGCGTGGCTCTCATGAGGATCAGAGCAGGGATGAGCCCTTTACACTAAACGCGAATAACCCAGCACGGATGGGTTCTCCCCCGCCCCCCACTATGTGGATCCGATCAGGCTCTCGCTCACCAGAAGTACCTTCTCCAGGGTCATGGTCCGTGAGCCCACCTTGAGAGTGGGGGAGGCTATTGGCTCCAGCATTAAGAATAGTTTCTGGTTAGGGGGAAAAACAGATTCCCCACTTGCTGCCCGTGCACTGTCCTCCTCCTCCTCCTCTTCCTCCTCACTCCATGCAACTCTCCCCTTGCAGGTGTCCATGGACAGTGGTGGAATAGTGGTGGAGTCACCCCCTATAATTGCGTGCAGCTCACGTTAGAAGTGGAATGTATGGGGCTGTGACCCAGAGCACCCATTCGCTTCTCTGGCTTTTTGGTATGCTTGCCTGAGCTCCTTGATTTTTGTACAACATTGCTCTGTGTCCCTGGAGTAGCCTTTTTCCGTCATGGACCTGGAGAGTTTAGCGTACGTATTTGCGTTCCTTTTTTTGGAACGTAGTTCTCCTTAACAGACTCATCTCTCCAACATGTGATGAGATCCAGTACCTTCCGTTCAGATCACACTGGAGCTCACCTGCAAATCGGGGACTGCGTGATCTCCTGTGATGGTGGACTCTGCATGGTTGCCTGTGATGGTGGACTGTGCTGATGGTCACTTGTGCTGATGGTGACCAAACAGGAAATTAAATTCAAAAGTTCCCAGGGCTTTTCCTGCCCACCTGGCTAGTGCATCAGAGTTGAGAGTGTTGCCCAGAGCAGTCACAAGGGAGCATTCTGGAATAGCTCCCGGAGGCCAATAATGTCAAATTGCATCCACAATACCTTTAACCTGGGATTGCAATCTCGATTTAAGCGCTACTCTACTTGCCGAGGTGGAGTACAGAAATTGGATTAAAGAGCCCTTTAAATTGAAAAGACCAGTTTGGTCATGTGGACGGAATCATTTATTTTTAATTAAACTCGGCTATTTCCGAAATAAGAGACTAGTGTAGACCAGGCCCCAAAGATCCCAGCAGCCATGGCCTCAGCGACTTCTGTATGGGAAATCCAAGAGGAAACCAAATGTCCCCTCTGTCTGGAATATCTGACAGACCCAGTGACCATAGACTGTGGGCACAACTTCTGCCGAGGCTGCATCACTCAGTACTGTGAGACATGGACAGAGGGGGACTATGACCCTTTGTGCAGCCCTGCCTTCAGAGCCCGAATCCAGAAAGAGGCTCTCTGGAATAACTATCAGCTAGAAAATATAGTGGAAAAAATCAAACAACTGCATTTCAAAGATGGAAAAGAGAATCTGTGTGAGTGACACAGCAAA